ACGCCCAAAGCTCTGTGCACACGGAGTGTGTAAATGCTGGTCTGTCGACCCGTAATTTTTAAATGAAACCATCTGTGAACAAGGTCTCTGCAGAGACTAAGGGGTGGAAGAGAGGAGAAGACGCCCTAAGAACCAAAGCTGGGATGAGAACGAACATCAGTGAAGTAACTGGCCTACGCTGGGGCTGTCGGCAGGACGGGGTCAGAAAAACGCGATGCCCAGCTCTCGATGAGTCACGTTCCGAAGGAGACGGGGTTCTATCTCAAAGCAGCGATTCAGAGCTGAGGTCACTAAACGTGAAAACGGTGGAATGACTTCGCTAACACCCTGTGAAAAATAAGTGGCGGTGCCCAAACTAGCGGTGTCCCCCGGCAACGGATAAAAATCTGGCGTGTCCCGGTGGTAGGACTTCAAGAACAAACCTGAGACCGACGGGACCATATTAACCAAATGTCACCGCACTCGATTTGTTTTTCAAGAGCAAATAATGACCAATGGATAAACGGTCCGGCAGCCTAATTGCACCTAGGATTTCCATCCTGAACAGTTTTGTATTGTATGGCTTAGGATCTGTGCTGTGTCACAAATTGGGTTTTTAATGCATTCTAGGTAATTTGGACTTACCGTAATTGTGAAAGAGATTCTAAATTACAAATGGAATGGAGTGGAATTTTATGTAACGGAAAATGAGAAATATAAGGAAAAAAATGCCTTTTTTTAACAAAGGTTTTTTTTCTAAATTTTCCAAACAAGTAAAATTCATACTAACGAAATAGCATTCTTCTAAACATATAGTTGCTAGATTATTATTAAGATTGTTATTCTTCCAAGAACATCATTATTCCATGTTCAAATTAGTGAAATCTTTTAAGTCATGTTATCAGAAATTAACTCTTGGTTTAACCACATACACAAAATTCTAAGTTATCCGCAATTCATCGTTGTCAGGGAGAGATTTATTTAATAAGGTGTCGTAATTATCTTCACTTCAAAAGCACATGTACACGCCCCACACCCAGCTGACAGACAAAAATATGAAGCATTCGACCATTTTCACATACATAGTGATGTGTGCGGCTCACACACCCTTCTCGCCTTGTGAACGCAGTTAACGTGTAGTCTTCGTGTAGATCGGTGACTGACTGCATACAGTCTGATCATGCGTGACTTCCCAGGAAGAGAAAGAACCCTAGTTTCCCCTTTCCCTCCCTCAGAGAAAACAGAGTAGCACCCTTGTGTGCAGATGTGCTACTTCCAAGAAACAAACATGAGTGCATTCCTCACGGTCATTTCTGTGCGTCCCACATATAAGGCTAAATAAAACTCCACGTGACACCTCAGTGCGGAAGACGACAAAGGTCCTCAAGAAACCGGGGCAGGACGACTCTTCGCTCCTTTCAAAAATGCCGTTCGCTCAAACTCCCTTCAGCTAAAGCCACGCTCGGAAGGGTAAGAACGGGTGGTCCCTGTATCACTTCTACGGTGAATAACTGTGTTATAAACAACGCACACTTGTTACGGGCTGCATTAATATATTCAACCCAGTACACATGAGCAAGACAGCCCGACGGTCCTGTTAGTTGTGCTACTATGAACTGTGCTCCACTGACACCCGATCACAGTGGCCTGCGAACTTGCTGTGGATGAGTGCCTTAGCCCTCCCACTGCAGCTTCGTGCTACACACAGGGAAACCGAGGCACGCCCCAGCACCCAGGAACTTGCCCACAACCCCTCAGCTGGGAAGGGGACCAGCGGGAAGGTAACCCAGACTGGCAAGTTGTGGACCGTTTCTCTCAGCTTAGCCGGACCAGAGTAAACCGCAGTTACGTTGAACAGGGTAGAGGGAAGATATGTGAAGTCCATGTTCACGCACATGATTTACAACAACCAAGACGTGGAACCAACCTGGACGGTCATCCATGCATGAACGGATAAAGAAAATCTGGTGGATGATAGCTACAGAGATAGATCGATAGATAAGATATTCTATAGGCAGATAACGATGGAGAAATAATGGACTGTTCTTCAGCCACGGAAAAGGAGAAAAATCCTGCTCCTTGTAACGACATCGACGGACCTAGCTGCCTCCGGTCCTCAAAGCCGGCCACGGCCACCTCCTCGGTCCCCCACTGCTTCACTCCAGCTTGGCCCTCCTCCTCTGCCCTCTTCCACGGCTCCAGAGCATTGTTATGAAGCATTTAAGCCCACCCCGATTCATCCAGGATATACTTACTCCTCCTAGGTTAAAGTCAACTGATCGGCGAACACAAACTCACCTCCGGCTTTAATTCTATGTGCTCCGCCGTGGAAGGAAATAGTCACGGGTCCGGGGGTTAGGACGTGCATATCTCTGGGAAGTCCGCGTGGTGTTTGCAAGTGGCGTCTTTCAGAACTAGGAATCCGTGTGCCCTTTGCGGCCCCCCACGCGGAGCCCGGGACTACCCCGTCGCAAGTGCTCGGGATTATTGCTGGTAGGGAAGCTGCACCCACCAGGACCCGCACCCTCCCTCCCTCCCACCCACGCACACACACGCATCTGAAACAAAAGCCGAACCGGAGTGGAAATCTGAACCTAAACTGTGCATCACTGCTGTCCGCACCGTGACTCGGAGGCGACGACCTGAATGACAACACGCCCTGAACCAAGGCCTCTGCGGACATCAGTCCAGTGCGGTGGGATCGATGTTCATGGTTGGAACTGGGGCGGGCCAGTTAGTGAATACGCAATAATGAAACATCGACAGTTCTACAGAGATTCTCAAACGGATGTCATAGCAGAAAAACAAACAAACAAAAAATGAAAAAAAAAAAACAAAACAAAACTCGTGACTCAAAAGACTGGCTTGTGCTCGTAAGCAGTACGTGACGAAACCGTCCCCAGGAGAGTTCCGACATTTAGCCATTACAGGGGGGATAGATGCCAGCTTTTCGGTGACGGTCACGGGCCTGATTCCCTTTCAGGACCCAGTGGGAACCCTGCCTGCAAAAGTAGTTTAAAAACAGCAAAGAATGAAACAACTGGCACTGGCCTCCTTCTTTCCACACTTTGATATTCTCCAATGCCTCTCGCACAGCAGCAAGCCGGCCCCAGGAGCACGGCCCCCACAGCTTCTGGTTGCACCGCGCACCCGCACCCCACGGCACAGCCACGGCTTTGTAATCAGGGCAGGCATCGACTCCTCCGCGCGGGGGGTCTCATTTGGCCCAGCCTCCCCGGCAGGGGGGCGGTCTAGCTGCAGGGCAGACCCCGTGCACGAGGTCAGCTGGGAAATGCCGCCACTGGCCCGCCGGCCGCCTTATTATGGAACCCATTGTCATCCTTCCTCCCGCGTGGTGTCTGTCCTCCCTCTTTATGTCTGCCCCTCTGGGTCATTTCTTTTTCTTTTCTCGGAATAGTTCTTTCGGAGGAAGACCACCGGCCAGGCGGCTTGCAAAAACGGCAGCGGGGGCCGTTGGCGAGGTGTGTGGGGGCCGCTATGCAACGTCCCCCACGCCCACAGAGCAGCCACGTGGGGACACCTCCTCCCCACCAAGTCACCTCGGCCCAAGGCCGGAAGCACACAGTGCGAAGGTCAGCTGCACGCCGTGAATCACACACGGAGACCCACAGGTCTACGGCATGATTGTGCGTCCTATCGCCATGACGACAAGGGATGCATGTGACACAAGCTACCCATAGAAGGAAGCTGGGATGCCTCCTTCCTTCCCTCCTTCCTTCCTTCCTTCCTTCCTTCCTCCTTCCTTCCTTCCTTCTTTCCTTCCTTCCTTCCTTCCTTCCTTCCTGTGACTGTCCATCTCTGTGATGCCCAGAGCAGGCGGCCCTGGCCGGGCTCTCCCCGACACGGCACTCCCACGACCTTCAAACCCGCACGTGCGGAACGGGCCACGTGGCGGCCCAGGTCCGGTTCTGGAGATCACAGAACCATGTCCTCCTCCTTTCCAACGGCCACGCCCACCTCACTGACAATCACGTTCCAAGGATGAAAGGGCCAAAAAACCCCCCCAAAAAACCCCAAAGACATCCCTGCATGAAAGTCACAACGCACGCTCGCGCGTGTCTAGGGAAGGGGAAGGGGACGCCTGCCGTCCTTGGAAACGATCTCTCTGCGTTTCAGTAAGCAGTGCACCCTCTACGCTTTCCCCTCCCCGTGTCTTAAGACAGCGTCTGCCCGTGGGGAACGAGACTCGGGGCATCGTCCAACCGTGAATGCCTCAGGTAGACATGGCAGAAAATTTTAATCGGACGTCTACACGGAGAGGACATACTCCAAGGCCGCCAGCAACGGATGGTAGATGCATGCAGCGCACACGGCGGGGTTTAGAGATCTTTGTCACCCGTGGGAACAAAGGGGCCCTTTGGCTACCGCTGAGCCCATTCTTTCCTCACGGTGCCTACTGGCACGTCACGACCCCCACGGGCCCTGGGACGGCACCGGACGCGGGAAGAAACGGGAAAGCAGATTGGTCTGGAAACCATGGATTCCCCGACCACGGTGCGTGACCACACGACAAAACTACCCCTTGGCGTGGGCGCTGAAACCACCCGGTGGCTCCCTGCCAGCCTGAACCACCCCGAGAAAGGGGTAGCAGACTCCTACAAGAGGAAGGGCACCTGGGACCGCGCCTTAAACTGTGCAGTGCGCTCCGGTCAGCACCGTCATGGTCTCCACTGGGCTGCTGTCCAGAGACTCGCCCCTGTGCAGAGGAGTCCGGCGTGTAGGACACCACACGACACACTCACACCCGTGACCACCTGCCAGCCAACCCGTCGTGGGGCCACAAAGGCAAGATACACACGTGAGGACGTATTGACCTTGACCCTCCTCCTGTCGAGGCTCGAGAAGCACCGTGGCCCAGACTGAAAGCGACCCCCGAGCTGTATTCCAAACACGGGAAGAAATGCACCGGAGAGGGGGGAGAGGAGGGGGTGCCCCCCGGCCCCCCCCAGCCCGAGACGAGACAGCAGCGGGGCGCGTTTGCGTTCCCTCCCGGCACTCACCGTCCTCCGTGGGCACGTAGATGTTGAGGTACAGGCAGTCCTCGTTCTGGTCTTGCACATAGGTCATCAGCGTATCCAGGTTGGCGGTGAACCAGACGGGGAGCATGTCGTGCAACAGCGACCTCTCGTCCAGGTGCTGGGGGCACACGGCGGCGAACTGGGTGGCGTTGCGCACCCCGGTCCAGGAGGAGGGCGGCTCGGGGGGCTGGAACCGCCTCTCGCCCGTGGGGGGCGAGGCGTACGGGACCCCCAGGTACTGCTCCACGGGGCCCAAAATCTCATTGGGCAAGGGTGTTCTTAGGCCTCGGATTTTGCCGTAGTTGGTGTTGACCACGGGGTGCTGGGCCTGCCCGTCCGCGGGCGCGACCCTCAGGGCCAGGGCCGCGAGCCCCAGCAGGAGGACGCAGACCGGGGGGGAGCAGCGCAGGGCACGCCACGACCGTCCCGTGGGCCCCGGCATTGTTCACTGCGACATCCGCGGGCGCCGGCGACACGCGAGTCCGAGCGAGCGACTCCGGCCGGGACGGCCGCCGCAGGGCAGGCGGGACGGCCGGGCCTGGGGGGGCCGGGGACCCAGCAGAGGCGACGGGCTGGCCGGCGAGCCCCGCCGAGGGCTCATACACGGAGGTCAGCGTCCAGCGCAGGCCCGGCAGCTTTCGGAGCGGCCCATGGCCGGACGGCAGGCAAATCCCAGCCCGTGTGCGCGAGGCTCCCCGGAGGCGGTGACCCCAGACGACGTCGGCCAAGGGCGCCGGTTCCTCACGACGACTCCAGGGCTGCGCCGGCGGCCTGTGGGGAAGAGCAGAAACCAAAGATGATGATGAAGGCCAGACGACAGCCGCGTGGGCCCCCGCACCGTCCCTCCCACGCCGCACAACTCTCCTTCACGGCTGCACCCGGACCGCGGTGCGGCCGCGCGGGAAGGCCTGCGCGGAGGTGACAGGTGACGAGCCAGCCCTCACTGCGGCCGCACGCCCAGCGCACCCCGGCAGAGCCTGGCGCCGGGGAGACGTCACGCTCCCCAAGGCTGTGCTGAATGAGCAAAGAAGTCCCCAGCATACACCCATCGCATCGATGGCTGGCTGTGACAATCACGTCTCCCAGTTCCACCGTCACTCACAAGATGGGCCCACGGAGGGGACAGGGGCGCCCCCCAACACCGGTTCTCGAATGTCCACGCCGCAGCTCCCGACCGAGAGGTGTGGATGGAGCGCTACACGTTTTCCAGGACGGGGACGAGACGAGAAAGGGGGGGCCCGCCTGGCCTTCGCTGTTACTCAGCCCCCAGCCCCCTCCCCTCTGACCACCGCCCGCTCCGCCTCTGTTTTGTCTGGTTGGTTGATGTAGTCCTCCACATTCCACAGGTAAGTAACATTCTCCGGTGTTTATCTTTCTCTGACATAATTCACTGAGCGCAACCCTCGCCGGTGCCTCCGTGCTGACGCAATCCCCAGGTCTCCTTCTTTCTAATGGCCCGGTGACCGTCCGGCGTCCTGCCGCTCACACACCCCTCTGTCAAGACGCTGAGGGCCTTTGGGGGGTATTTCTGGGCGGGAACCTACCTACGCATTTCATTTCCCTGCACCGTTGAACGGACCACGTCACACACGGTCACCGTTTGTTCAAATGACACTTGTCAATCGGGGCTGAATCTGTCATGGAAGTGTAGCACGTTTACGGGAAATGCCATCGGCAAGGATTTCCTGGGTTGAGTTCGCCAGAGCTGGAGGCAAATGCTCCGGAACTCTGAGGGTAACAGGGAACGTGGAAAATAGCCCTGACTGGGCGGGGGGGGCCTCGTGGGTCGGAGGGTCACCTCGTACACAGACAGGTGGCGGGTTCAGTCCTAGATTGGGGTGCATCTGGTCTGGCATCTCTCTCTCTCTCTCCCTCTCTCTCCCTCTCTCTCCCTCTCCCTCTCTCCCTCTCTCTCCCTCTCTCTCCCTCTCTCTCTCTCTCTCTCCCTCTCTCTCTCTCTCTCTCTCTCTCTCTCTCTCTCTCTCTCTCTCTCTCTCTCTCTCTCTCTCTCTCTCTCTCTCAAATCCGTAAACACATCCCCGGATAAGGACTGGAAAAAAAAGAAGAAAGTGAAGAACAGCATCGCAGGCAGCGGCCGATGTGCGTGCGCCTGTGCCTCTGAACCCTTCCGAGGACGCCTGGAGAGCCGCCGCGCCGTGCGCCACCGTCTCAGCAGCCGGGGACAGACGGGAGGCGAGGCGAGGGCCCGCGGGGAGCCTTCCCTTCTCCGGAAAGCCACCCAGCTTTGCAGCCGCAGTGGTTCCTCCTCCTCCGGCCGCCCGCGCGGTCGTAGGAGACGCCGTGAGTTTCCGAGCCGGACAGATCTGAGCCCCTGCGAGTGGGGGGACGTGATCTGACACCCCCGGGCTTTGGGGGAACGGCGGGACCCACGGGGCTACGCAGAGAACACGCCCGCCCGACGGAGGCGCCGCGCTGGGGTTCTGCACACGTGCGCCTGCTTGGAAGGGTCCTGGGGGCGTGCGCAGGCTTTGAACCAGCGGAGCGCGGGCGCTGAGCCGGTGCAGAGCGAGCCACTTCAATGCTCTGAGGCCCTCGTCACTGGTCTGCCCACGCGTCAGCCCAGGGCCCACCTGTGCCCACAGGTATGTGTTCCCAGACCCCCACGGGGTGCCTGAGGCGATGGATAGTCCCAAACCCCACCGACACGACCTTTTTTCCGACCCACGCACACCTGTGGTAAAGATACATGGTAAGGTCGGCACAGAAATATATGAACAATCACATCACGATAAAATAGAAGAAATACAACAATTCGCTGCAATGAGTTATATACAAATCACACGCCTACGATTTTGTGCTAAAAGATTTTGTCAGCCCTGGCTGGCGTAGCTCAGTGGATGGAGCGCGGGCTGCGAACCAAAGCGTCGCAGGTTCGATTCCCAGTCAGGGCACACGCCTGGGTTGCAGGCCACGGCCCCCAGCAACCGCACATGGATGTTTCTCTCTCTCTCTTTCTCCCTCCCTTCCCTCTCTAAAAATAAATAAATAAAATCTTTTCTTAAAAAATTCTGTCATAAAAAAGAGGCATCATTTGTGCCAGACACCCTGTATACTGATTTTCTCAAACGTAAAAAAGGGATAATACAAAAGAAATTATGTGAATAAGACTTTTAATGAAAGCAAGCGAGACCCACTAATTTGTTGACTACGCATAATTTGGGAGTTAAGAAAGACGCTGGGGTCCGTCTTCTCCGCAAAGGTGGCGCAAAGAGCCATATCTCCCAGGGGCGTTTTGGCGTGATTTATAACCTGATCGGGTATTTCAGCCTCCTTCTCCCCAGGGCGGTGATTCGGTCTGAGGCTGCAATTAAGACGAGGTTCCCCCTCCTCAGGCCTCCCAGACGGTAAATAACTCCAAGCACAAACGGCCATGATTTCTCCCCCACAGCACACACTGCCCAGGCGGAGGTTGAGTTCATTTTAAAATATGTGTATTTAAAGAAGGGGTGGCTGGACGGCATCTTTGTTGGGGATTTGGCCTTAGGAGCAGTACAATCACATTTGGTGGGCGTTTTCCTTTGCTGACTGTGCAGAACATTAGAAGACGGGGAACTTTGTGGGTTCATCAGAGAGAGAGAGAGAGGGAGGGAGGGAGAGGAAGGGAGAGAGGGAGAGAGAGAGAGAGAGAGAGAGAGAGAGAGAGAGAGGGAGAGAGAGAGGGAGGGAGGGAGAGGGAAGGAGGGAGGGAGAGAGAGAGAGGGAGAGAGAGAGGGAGGAAGGGAGAGGGAAGGAGGGAGGGAGAGAGAGAGAGAGAGAGAGAGAGAGACAGAGAGAGAGAGAGAGGGAGAGAGAGAGAGGGAGAGAAAGAGACAGAGAGAGAGAGAGAGAGGGAGAGGGAGAGGGAGAGAGAGAGGGAGAGAGAGAGGGAGAAAGGGGGAGAGAGAGAGAGGGAGAGAGAGAAACGGAGGGAGGGAACGAGGAGGAAGCAGCCAGCCCCTGGTGTTCCCCCCCCCCACCCCCGCACGGAAGAGCTGGCACCCAGGGAGGTGTCTGCGTCTGCAGTAACAGCTGGGACAACACACCTCCCCCCCCCCGTTTCCTGAGACAGCCTAGAATATCCTGCACCCACCAACCCTGTCCCCCTGTTCGCCCGGCCCCCAAACCCCTCCCCTCCGGCAGCCCCCAGCCTGTGCCTCTGACCCCGTTTCTGATTTGCGTGTTTACTGTGTGCTTCCGGCCGCACCTGCCCGTGACATCACACGCTGCTCCTCCTTCCCTGACCCCTTGCACTGAGCACACACCCGACCCTCCAGGTCCACTTCACATGGGTACAAAACACTGAACGTCAATGGCGATTCATTTTTTTTAAAAAATAGCCTTTAGGATAGTTTTTCATTAATTCCGTGTCATCTGCATGTGAATAAATATCGAAAGGCATGCTGATTCTCTGTTTAAAAGTCTAAAACAGCTAAATGGTGTATAGCCTATAGATACTCCTACTTTTTTTTTGTGGTGCAAACTGCACCTGCTGTGCACCCCCTTTGGCCCAAGAACACAGAACTCAGCCCTGAGTCGGCCCAGCGCACCGGTTCCCTCCTCCCCCACCCTGAGCTCCGCGCCTGGGCCCATCAGCCTCACACACGCACCGCGCAGTCCTGGTCTTGGCTACAGAGCCCCTGCAGCACGCGTGTGAGGGGACACGCACAGAAACGTCCCCTGCAGCCAGAGTCAAGGCAGCAGAAAACAAAAAAGGACTAGCACAGCTGTGCCTGAATAAGAGGAAAGAAAATGTTGCCTGCTGAAAGAACACTACACAACCGAGACAACGGAATAAGCTAGACACTTGTTATCAAGAGTGCTAGCATTTCGCCCTGGCTGGTGTAGCTCGGTGGATTGAGCGCGGGCTGCGAACCCAAGCGTCGCAGGTTCGATTCCCAGTCAGGGCACATGCCTGGGCTGCAGGCCAGGGCCCCCAGCAACCGCACATGGATGTTTCTCTCTCTCTCTCTCTCTATCTCCCTTCCCTCTCTAATAAATAAATAAAATCTTTTAAAAAAACAATACTGAATGCTAGTTGTAACTGAAAAGAAATTAAATTAAAAAAAAAAACAAAGAAAAAACAAGAGCAGGAGAAAAGCAAGCCCCGGAGAAGGTCGGCATGAGCAGCATCCGAGGTGACAACGGTACCGCCTCTGTTTCTCCCTGCCTGCGCTGCCTACTCCCCGCGCTCCACCACCACGGGAAAACACGGCCCGAGGCCCCACGTTCCGTGAGCTCTTGAGTGTTTTTCGTCATTCATGGCCAGATCCCGCAACTCCCCGGGGCAGGTCTACCTCCGGCCTGTCCTCTGTGTGGGAACTCCTTTGGAACTTCCGAGACTCCCCCTTGCTTTTCTCCAATGCGTATGCGTTGCACAGGAAGGCACAAAAGGGTTGATCTTTTTTTCCCTAAATGAATCAGGTGTCACCAATTTGTGGGCAGTGAGTGCCTTCCTTGCTGTTTCCAGCAAGCCTGTTCACGGACATTCTCCGGCTGCGGCTGACCCCTCCTAACCCGATGACACCCAATGACACCCTCTGCGGCAGCCTTTCCAGCTCCCCTGGGCTTAATTATCTCTCTTTTTTAAAATGATTTTATTTATTTATTTTTAGAGAGGGAAGGGAAGGAGATAGAGAGAGAGGAACATCCATGTGCGGTTGCTGGGGATTATAGCCTGCAACCCAGGCCTGTGCCCTGGCTGGGAATCGAACCTGCGACGCTTGGGTTCGCAGCCCGCACTCCATCCACGGAGCTACGCCAGCCAGGGCTGC